CAGCATGGAGGAAGAGAAATAGGGCAATGAGTATGGGTTTTAATCTCTGGTTTAATCCCTGCTCTGTCATTTATAAACTGAGTGAATTCAATTTTGCTATAGGTAAAATGGGCTTATCTTGGGATTTGAACAGATGAATAACTAATGCTTTTATCCTCCTCTAAATAATATATTCTAAAATTAAAATAGATATAAAATAAACCAAAGCAAAACATTACCCAGCTCTCATTCTTCACTCCTCTTAAGGTCCTGAAAATGAGATCTTCTCCCTACCAGAAAAGCCAACTGACTTGCCCCTCAGTCCCCAAAACAGCTGGCTAAAGGGGGAATCCTGTCATGGTAAGTAGAAAGTCTCTTTTTTACCAAACATCCCCCTCAACTAGTTAGCACTGGACACTGAGGAACACTATCCCAGGACATTTTTTTAAAGTAAAAATCACTGCCAACCAACTTTTATCAGGACTGAATGGGCAAGAAGAAACTTAAAGCACACAGCCTAGGAAGACTACTTGTACTTTTTATTATTTACACTCTTACCAAGTCCACTTTATTTAAAAAAAAAAAAAGAGTGAAATCCTAATTCTGACCACCTCAACTCAAATGACCTTCATTCCCTTTGCTCTTCCACCACCCACTCCCTGAACTTCATCATCCTCTAGTGCAGTCAGTGCTTGGTATTCTAAAACCCAGTATCCCCACTATTGTTGCAGACCCTATCTTTCTAGCTCTCTCCCCAGCTCCATTGCTCTTTGAATAAATTGGTGCTGCTAGTCCCTTCACCCTTCCATCTTCTTCCAATCAATCAAAGTTCTGTTGGATTTCCTTCTATAGGAATCCAACTTACATTTTATGATCACTCAACCACTTTTTCTGCGAAGACTCTTAAAAGTTCCAGTCAATTTCTTCTCCAAAGTGATTTACTGATCCTCTCAAACCTCCTATCACTTATTTCATCACTAATTAATCACAGGATTAAGCTTGTTTTCCTATTTTACCAAGAAAACAGAGGTCACAGGTCAAACTGTCCACAACTTCCTCTCTCTACTATAACCCTTACACAAATTTATCACATTAAAACCCATTTTTTCCTTTTCCCTTCCTCTGGCAGAAGAGAATATGTCCTGTCTCAGATTGAAACCCAGTTCATACACTTATGCTCCTACAACTCCAGCTTTCTCAGGGACCTTGCTCTAGCAAGTATTCCCTTTCCCTCCCATATCCTTAACCTTAGTTGGCCCATCTCTTTTCCTTTAATGCTTTTGTTTCCCAAAGTTCCTTTTTTAGCCCACCTCTCACTTATACACTCTTCCAGGCACATCTTACCTATTCCTATCACTTCTACTATCATGTATAAACTGATACTCTTAAATCTGAAATTCTAGTCCTCCCCCTTAGGTATCAAACAATCGTTTTCAAATGCTTACTGGTCACTTCCACTTAGATGTCACCCATAAATCTTAAACTTAATGTATTCATGACTAGTCATCTTCCCCCAAAATATTTCCTCCTATATTCTTTCTCTTCGTGATCCACTTAGTTTCCCAAGCCAGAAACCAGAGAGGTATCATAGATTTCTCCCTCTACATATGCAAAGGTCACTATGCCGTGGTAATTATACCTGGTAAATCTCTCTTTAATCCACACTCTCTCTTCCACCCATGTCTACCACAATGCAAGCAACTTCCTGTCTACCTCTACTGCTACCTCAATGCAAGTAATCACTTTTTAAAATCTGCTCTCTCTGCCTCATTTTCAATGCCTTGTAATTCTTCCCACCAATACTGTTACAGTCACATTACTAAATATGAATTTGATCATATGCTCCCTCTTAAAAAGCTTTAATGGCTCCATTCTCCTTCAGCATCAAATTTATTTTACATGGAAGACAAACATGTGCTCTTTTTTCTGCCTAGAATGACCCAAACGTCACCACCACCTTCTTCTGTTGGCTACCTTCTACTCACCCTATAAAGACTCAGCTCAAGCCCTAAGTGGTGTGGCTCAGAGGGTTGGGTGTCGTAGGTTGGTGGCATGAGAAAGGCAAGCAATAGATGCTTCTCTCCCTTTCTTTCTCCCTCACTTCCCCTATCTCTAAAATAAATTAATAAATCTTAAAAATAAAAAGACTCAGCTCAAGATTTACAAACTCCTAACCAAGCTTCCATGCTCAGTTAGATCCCTCTCATCTGTTTCCACAGTCATGCCTGCAAATTAGAAATGACCAAAAAGTTTTTATTCATTAAATTCATAAACATAAAGTTTCAGAGTTTACTGCTTCTGAAGGTCACTGAGTATCAATTACACAGAAGTGATTTTACAAAGCATTAAAGTGATTTTTAAGGCAAAGAATTCTCATGCATATAGTCCAAAACAAATTAGCTAGTATATCTGTGCAATTAAAAAAAAGAAAAGAAAGTTACTTTTCTGCTGAAGTATGAAGATTTATATTTAAGGACTAAGGAAAATAAGTAGGGGAAAAAAGAGGAAGGATTGTATTACTGTTATTATTTAACTACTCCCCTTATTATAAAATGACAGAATAAAAACTATTTAATATACAAAGGATAGATTTATAAATGAAAGCAATTAAGAGAGAAAACTATGGACAAAATCCAAAGATAAGTAATACCAGTATATAAGGCACTATCCTTTATCAATACCCTTTTTCTTCTGTTTTTCCATCAGATCTGAAATCTTTAAAAAATCCAGCTTATCATTAATTTTAAAATACATATAGCCAAGCACTGTGGACCAAAAAACAAAAGTTACTAAAAACTTAAAGACTAAATACAGAATGCGTCACTTCATTCTACCTTGTTTAAACAGTAGTAGAGAAGGAGATATCCCTTCCAAAGCACATATGCGATTAGCAGTGTATTGTATGAAGTTCTTGAGCAGCCTAATAAGTAGTCATAAAGAGTACTTTCAGGTAATATATGTGAAGATACTGGGAGAGTGTAAACTAGCAAAGTAGTATGCATATGGAAATGCTTCTTATATGAAGAAAGGCTTTGCCTTAGAGTCTACCAAGCACTGATACCACGCCCCCCCCAAAAAAAACAAATAAAACTAAAAACTTATCAGTTCCTTAAGGAACAAAAGCCAAAAGCTGGCATTGTTATTAAATTCCAGGAAAAATTTAATTCAACCAAACTCATTTAGTATATTGAAAGTTAAGGTTCCCTCCTAAAAAAAACATCGCTATTAACCTAATTACATCATTCTTGTCTTAAACTAGTGACATAGTCAGTCATTTTTCAGTTCCTAAAAAAGGGCCTTAAGCATATTAGAAATGCCATTGGTTAAGGAGTCAAAGTTCTTATATTCAATAAATTCTTACAGAGTGTGTGCTATATACAAAATTATGTATCAGAGATAGTCATATTTAGTTTTGCCATTAACTCACACACTAGATGCAATTACTAAATATGTCTTTAGCCAATGTTCAAGTGAAAAAGCTAATGAGCTTTATTGAAAGTTCCTAGATTAGAAATGAAATGAGTTCTGGAACTCGGTAAGTTACCTGTTTGGAACTCTGAATGCTCTTTCCAGTAGAAATAATGTAATAAATGGCAACTAAATTCCCAAACTAGAGGCCTACAATATAGAGGAATCACACAGTTTTTATATTAGTTATAATAAGTCAGTTTTATAAATTATTGTTAATACTGTAAAATAGGATTTGACATTTTCTAAATAAGAGCATTTCTCTTATAATTGGAAGAGCCTAATTTTAAAAACTAGTTATTACTTTCAACAGAAGATGATACAGAGAAAATGAAAAGCAATATCAAAATAAACTGTTGAATATCTGAAATAAAACATATCATAATGGTCATCTTTCCAAAAGTGGTACTTCTGGTTCCCATCATTGAGTACTATTTGCTTACTTTATTGAATACTAGATGGTGTTTGTTAAAGACTGATGAGACCAAAGCACTTACAGAAAAGTTAAGGTACCTTGGCAGGCTAAAATCCAAACTTTTTTGAATAAGTTCTAATTTCAGATCTTTATAATAATAAAGGCAAAACATTTAATTAATTATGAAACTATTACAAAATTCTTTGATGAACGTTTAGGGCCATTAGTAAATGAAATTGCAGGTATACCAGACCATGTTAAACAGAAATAAAAATAATTGCTTTGACAAAAATATCACTTAACTATTTTATTTCAGAAATGAGGAAAGCTATTGAGCAGCTTTTTCTTTTTTTAAAGTATAAGAGAAATTAAGTGGCACCTTAAGAGAAAGAGCCAATAATGACTAAATGTTAAAAAATTTCAATTCAGGAAATATTTGAAGAATTTAGTTTGTATATATTACTAACTTGAGCTTCTTTAATAATATCCTTCTCGCTCTGACGTCTTTCCGACCATAATTTCATAAATCCACCCTTTAATCCTATTTTACACCTGAAATAAAACTGAAACTCAAAGAGGTTGTATTCGCAGCACAAACTTCCCACTACAGTATTGCTCATAACAAAGTTTAACATGGTTACTGTGGGTTATCAGTCCATACAGTAAGTTAGGTGTCTCTGGATAATTTATTAATACTTCATGAGTTGATAGAATTAAGCTGTATGACAACATCACAAGAAAAACTACTTCCAATTGAGTAACACGATAAAGGTGAGGAGCACAGATTTCACCACACGATGAATACTAGCTTTTAGAAGCAACAAACATAAAATTCTGGCTTAGTTTTTCAGAGTTTAAAAAAGGCCAGAAAAGGCGAGGCCAGAAACGGCTGAATCGGCTCACACCGCGAACTTCATTCCTAACTCCAGGGAACAGGAGAGTAGAGAAAATCAAAGCGCCTCAGACCTCTCCAAAGAAAACTATAAAAAGCGTTTGTGGAACAACCCACCGACTTGCAAATATGGACAGGTGAAGGCCAAATGAAAATTAGACAGGGCTGGAGGATGGCTGTGAAGGACTGGGTCTAACAGGAACCCGCAACTTACAGTGCCTTCTCCCGACGTCGCCCGAACCTTACCTCCTTGACAGGTGGAAATTTCTTCTTGCACTCCAGGGACAAGGCCCTTAAATCGCTCTGCATATTTTCCAGCAGCTTCTTCACTGCCTCGGGGCTGTGAGTGCCTGACATGATCCACCAAGCTCCGAGACAATTTCAGAGCGGCGCAAACGAACTCCGGCACTGTCAGGTCCTTGGGGCGTCAGGCAGCTCCCTCCACGCACCTCCGGACCTTCCGCAGCCCGCCTCTAGGGCTCCGCGGGCACTCCACTGGGCCTGGGATGCCAACTCCGAGCGAGACCGACCGCCCCCCGCAGCCTCCTCGCAAACCCCTCGGCTCCTCGCTGCGGCGCCCCCGCAGTCGCCCCGCACCGCTAGGCCCCGCCGGCTCCGGCAGAGGAGCCCACTATGCGGGCAAGTCCCTCCCGCTGCCGCGGGGCCCAGCCACACCGGTTGTCACAAGCCAACCTGGCCAGAAGCTTCAGCGCTAGGTCCCCAAACCCCACAGAATCGCCAACGCCATTAGCCGAGTCGCCCACAATTCCGAGCGCGGCCGGGACACGTCAGCAGCACTTCCGGGCACCGCGGCCACCGCCCCCGCCTTGGCCAACCCGGGAGGGCGAGCCTCAGGCAGGGCGTGGCCAGGGGCGTGGTCACACTTAGGGCCGGCTCGGTTCCGGAAGGGGACACCAGCGTCCGAGACGGCTTACTGCTTCTCTTGCCTCAGCAAAATTTGCTTCCTTTTCAGTGAAAAGTGTCTGAACTGAGCATCGGCTATTGCTTGGCGTATCTCTTTGAGTGTGTTTGTGTTAAGTTGTATTTCGGTGTAAACAGGTTGCTTCCTTTTGGATTAATCATCATTTGTCATGTCCTTCATTTCTGCCCTCTCGAATCTCTGGGTTAGTGGCCCCAAATCAACACCTACCTCCTTTTAATTTTTTAACACCTCCAGGAGCACCTAAATTGCAATTCCTCCATAGAGGTACACTTACTGCAGAACAGTCACTTATTTCTCTTATGTGGAGATAAAACTTCCAGACCCTCCGCTGACATTTCACCCGAAGTAAAAGCCAAAATTCATCAGTTCACGGACCAGGCGCTACGCGATCTGTCCCTCCAACTTCACTGCCTGTCAGCCTCCCTGCTGAAATGAAAGTTTCAGAAGCGTTGGGATTTTTTTGTTTGTTTCCTGCTGTATTTAGAGTTCCTAGAAGAGAGCTTGGCACACAGGAGATGATCAATAAATGTGTGTTGAATGAATGACTACCCAACTATAAAAGCAGAGTTTTGATGCTCAAATAAGGAACGATATAGGCATGAAGTGTCAAATATATGTGAGGCAAAGATAAACATAAAAGTCATTTGTGCTTCGCTGAAGATTCAAGTGAGTGTGCTTTTTCCCAAGACATTTCACAGCTACTGAGTAGGAAGTAGAGAGAGGTAGGGTGAAAACCTGAACCAAGGTAGAGGTAGGAGATAAAGAAATAAGAACTTTTAGAAAACTGAGCTGTTGACACCTTTACAGAATGGAAGACTGAGATTGTCAGTGGGTGGCAATGTTCCGCTGTAAAATAAGAAGGACTTAGACCACAATTACTTTGTAAACTAATTTTTTTAAATTATTATTCTAAGAAGAAGCAAAGTAAAAATGGATGAAGGTGGCAGATGAGGTAAGAGTGGTAAGCTCCTAGTGGAGGAATTTGGATCATTTGTGCCTATTACACAGCTCCTATGGTATAAACTTTATGTATTAAAAACTGAATTTAGCGGGTGGAAGCTTAGGTGGAATATGTAGCAGTCATTATTCTTGAGGCCCCACGGAGCTTTTAAAAATGATCTTTCTAGCCCTGGCTCATGTGGCTCAGTTGGTTGGAGCGTTCTCCCGAAGACCAAAAAGTCAGGGGGTTGCTTCCCAATCAGGGCATGTACCCAAGTTGCAGGTTCGATCCCTGTTGGGGTTCTTATGAGAAGGCAACCAATCAGTGTTTTTTTTTTTTCTCTCTCTCTCACTTGTTCACTCTCTCCCTTTCTCACTGAAAGCAATGAAGAATGTCCTCAGATGAGGATTAAAAAAAATTAAAATGATCTTCTAATAATTGGCCCAGTAGTTTAGGATCAAGTTTTTGTCCAGTGCCTTTCCTTATGTAACCACTCTTTCTTTTAAAATTTAATTGGTTTATTATTAGTAATTTTGGCATGATTGACTTAAAATCAGCTTCCTAAGAGTCTTTTCCATCTCTGTTATGTACAGTTGAGGGAATGCAATTGGAATTCATTCATTAAAAACAATACAATGATTGAAAAAACAATATTTATTTATGGTGCAACTATTTCCAATATAGTATTCTGTAAATTTCTTTTAAAAAATAGTTTTCTACATATATATGCCCCAAAAGATGGTTCTGCCCCAGAAACAATGCATGGTTTTATACCAAAATCAAATAAATTAGCAGAGGTAAAAACAATTTTTGGTTCTGTAAGTTAAGAAATGAGCTAAATTCAGTAGTTAGCATTCTAAAAACAAATCATTTCTCTTCTAGTAGCAAAAACAAAATTCAGATACATAGTGTTCTTATGTACTTGAAGAAGTACTTTCTTTTTTAAAAAATTTAATCTATATTGTTATTTTTTTCTATTACCATTTAGTCCCCTTACTCCCCCTCCCTGCCAGCAATCACCACACTGTTGTCCATGTCCATGAGTCCTTTTTCCTTTTTGCTCAGTCCCTCCACCCCCAAACCTACCCCCCCAGCTGTCATTTGCTCTCTGTCCATGAGTCTGTCACCGTTTTGCTTGTTAGTTCAGTTTGTCCATTAGATTCCACGCATGAGTGAAATCATATGGTGTTTGTCTTTTCCTGACTGGCCCATTTCACTTAGCATAATAGTCTCAGGTCCGTACGTACTGTCACAAAAGAAGTGCTTTCAAACTCATAGCATACCTATAAATGTTGGTATGAGTGTAAAATGGTCTTCTGTGGCTATAAAATCCATCCTCACTAAAAATTACATTAATAAATGCCTGATAAACTTGATTTTGTGTTACCACAAGCAATGCTTTCATTGTATTATCGAGTAGTAGTTAAGCCTCAAGCTCTGAAGTCAAAAATCCTCAGTCTGAACCTCAGCCCTGTTAGTACTTTAGCAATTTATTTAACCTCTCTAATCTTCAGTTTCCACATCACTAAAAGAAGACAATACAAGTGTTTTCCTCTAAATGAGATATTGCTGGTAATGTACAATGCTTGGCACACATAAATTAAGTAATGAGTAAATGTTTTAAGTAGGTAGTAGAAAAAGATAACTCGTTGCAATCATCACTCACTCTTTTATTAACTTCTAACCAGACTTAATTATGAGCAAATTTAACCTTCTAGTTGAAAATTAGGAAACCTATGTATTTTTCTGAGCCTTTGTTATGAATCTTTTGGAAAATTAATCTATTTTACCACAATCGTATGTTCATGTGTAACAAAAAAACTTGTCTAATATCTATCTCAGTTTAATGATGAAATATAAATATTACCCAACCTACCTTTCTAGTTGTTTAATCCCTCATTTTTCAGCATCATTCATTTATTCTCCTCTTGGATTTTTCTCTCTTCTACGTACTCCTTAGATATTAGTATTTCCTAGAATTCTATTCTCTGATTTCTTTTTTTTCATTTATTATCCCAGAATGGTGTTATGTACACCAGTGGTTCAATTACTACCGATCTATTGACATCACCATATATAACCTCCCTATTTATAAACTCCAGTAGAATGATCAGTTTAACAGATATACCACAACAGGGACACCACTTGGGTTTATTTACCTAAGGGATACAGAAAGGAAGGTAGATGCAATATCTGCTAAGAGATAAAAAGGAAAGCTTCTAAGCCTTCTAAATATTCAAACTTTCCGGAATATGTTACATCAGACCTGGAAGCTTCACTTCCCCTTCTGGTCCTAGCCTTACATACACAAAGCTAGACTGGTGCTATACAAAGTGTTCTCTAGAGATCACCTCACCTAGGCAAGGTAACTCATCAACCTCATTTTATATAATGCACAGCATGATAGCTAAGTTGCAGTACAGAGGATATTCAGACATAAACAAATCCTTTATTCTCAGCCTTCCTAGGTTAACACAGCCTAGTCCAAGTACTTTCCTGAATTTAAGCCTATGGGAATAAAACAAGAAACTGTTGCCAGATATTTCTGAAAATCATGGTATCAAGCTCTTGTACACAAACTTATAACTCCAGAGCTCTTATGTGAGATCCAGACATTGCCTACCCTACATCTTTACCTGAAAGTCTCATTGGCACCTAACATTCTTCCCAACAAACAGAGTTGGTCCTCTATATACATTATGTTTCCCAATGAAAGGAATCACCACCCCACTGGTTGCACAGACCAGGAATCTAAGACTCAAACTTGACTTTCCCAGTTCCCTCATCTACTGCACCTAAGGGGAATCAATTCTGTTCATTCATTCAATTTTTTTCTCCATGCTCACTAGCTTGATTCAAGCCATCATCATCTCTGGTTTAAAACAACAGTTTCCAAACTATAATTCCTACCTCTAAGTCCATTTTCAATTTATTTCTCACACTGATCACAGAGTCCTCTTTCTAAAATGAAAATATAAAGCTCTTTATGACTTTTCTATTATTTTCAAATTAAAGTTCAGACTACTTTACATGGTATACCAGTTAGATTCTTTTAGCAGTAGAGGTTCAAAGAAATAATGCATGAGAAAACAGAAGAAAAGGAATTTCACAAAGCCAGATCCTATAGGAATGTAGAAAAGCTTAGTGTTCTTAACTGCTTGATTAATCTCAGCAGCAGATGTGTTTTGCTTGCTTCTTTCTCCCTTCTCTAGTACTTAAGAATTACCAAGACACATTGACTCTATATCTTTGCTAAAATTTCTCCTACTTCTAGTAACCAATTGCCTCACTCCTAATTCTGTATGTATAGAGATTCTACTTTCTCATAGCTTCTGCTTCTTCATGTCTTTCGCTCCCTCATGGCCTCTGCTGTTTTTCTTCTTTCTCTGTGTCTGTTTAATTTCTATCTTACTACCTTACCAACCACATATTTTCTCTTTATGTATCACATTCAAGTTTCTGAAGAAAAAGTCTAAATAATTCAGGAAACTCAAAAAACTAAAAGAAGAAGGAGTAGGAAGAGGAGAAGAAAAAAAAAAAGAAGCCCTTTGCTTCTCAACAACTTTCAAGCATCTTTGTAAGAGCTAGTGACCTGGGAAATTCTTGTATGGTAGATGGGCATCTATGTGGTCCAGGGGCTTCAGTAAGCAAGGAATTCCCCACACCACTAAGCACGTTGATTGCCTGATATCTACATTTAGGATAGCCATGCTTTAAAGAGCAGCTTCCTGGTAACATTGGACACAGAACCCGAGAACCAGCCCAGGCCAAACCAGCCCAGGCCAAACCAGCCCAGGCCTGTTCGCATTGCCCCTAGTTTCAGACAGTTTGACTTCTGGATCTCTGAGTGTCATCTCAGAGTGGGGCCA